AATTAAGCAAAGCAAAAATGTGATGTGACATATTTACAAAGCTTGAAAATATTTTTGTTCTATAAGAACTATCTGTTATTTTATCACAGTATATTACTCTGATATTCACAGTATATATTAGTCTGATATTTTCCGCCGTATTTATAATATATTTTTCTAAAGTTTCTTCGTTTAAAGGTTCGTAAGGTATAATTTTGATATTAACATTTGCTTCGATGAAAGTATCTTTTATTGTGTTTATTCGGTTTAAATCTATACTCGTCGAATTGTTATCCATTTGTTCGACTTTAAAATCTGTCAGTATGATAACCCGCCGATCAACATGTATTTTCTGATACATTTTCACAAAATTTATGACATGTTTCATAAAATTTATGGAATTTACTCTCCCATTCTTCAAAACAACAAAATCCAAATGCGAAGATGAGGATTCGTTACTGTTTTTTCTGCGTAATCTGTTTTTTACGATGTTCGCGTATGATTTGTTCCACAGCAGACGCAAGAGTGTAATTGTTCTTACGATTGTTATGCAAAGAAACCGTATATAGAAATATGAATATTAAATATAAAAATACCAATATGATACATATACAAAGCATCTTCTTTATTTTTGGCAGACATTTTAGAACAGACAGACAAATTTTGTTTTTTGTACTTTGATAATCTTGCGGTTTTTTGTCACTTTCGTTTTTATTCATACTGTTTGAATTATTATTTTTTCCAATTTTCCGTCTCGTGAAAACCGATTTTGCAATATCTTCGTTTGTCTCTAAAGACTGAGATTTCGGGTTAAGAGCAGATTTTAATGCACATGTTCGTTTGCTTGTAACAATATTACAATTGGGCACAATCCGGGACATTAATTCATCCGTAAAGATTATCGGCATCAGTTTTGGTAAATCCATATATTCTTCAGGTTTTATAAGATTTATAAATTCTTGAATTTTCATAGTTTCCGTCATAGGCGTAGATATTATTGTATCATGGATATGTTCTGTTGAATTTGTAGATGCGTAGGATATCATATCGTCGATATTTCCCGTTGGATCCATGGATGTAAATATTTTATCTTCTATTTAATGTGCGTGGATATGGATGTTGTATCACAACCATATATATATTTATATACATATATCCCGTTATATCCATTCCATTTGATTGTCAGTAAAGTGCGGATTTAAGTGCGGATGTGGACCGTATCATTAATAATATATAGACTACTTTCAAGATGCTCTGGGATTGTTAAATCGCAATCGTAATACTTTCTTGAGCTCGTTAATTTCTGCTTCCATAATTTTATTTAGTCCCCGGTTCTACAAATAAAGTGATACTCGATTAATGTCATTTGATATATTATGTTTTAGATAATTGCACGTTCAAATATTTCAATTATTATGTCGCGTTAAATAACGAATGCGTTACAATCAAATATTTTGCTATCTGTTAAAGCCATTTTTATATGTATATTGTATCATCCATGCTAATAATAAATACAAATATTATAGATTAATATTAATACATTCGTGCATTTTGTTTCGCATTTTTATCTCAATCAATTGTGGCTTGCATAAAAAATGTTATATTGCAAAGATATTTGCTTGAAAATTATAATTTACAATTTAACGAGAAAATGAAATATGCAAATACAAAGTTATTCCAAACTTTTTAATTATTAGCGAGAATTATTAAAAAACATAAGGACGAGCAAATAAATTTTGTTAAGAATTATTAAATTTTATTTTGCAATATAAAGATCGCAATAATTTTTAACGGTTTATAAGCTATCTATATAGCGAATGCTCTTACTCAATATCTGTAGCTAGTGGCTGCTTGTAAGTAAATTGCTAAATGTAAATTGTTGCAAATATTTTCGATTTGCTTTGTGAATGGAAGGCTAAACTTCTACAATGATCTCTTCAATTCGAAGACATTATAAATTCAAAGTCACAAATTGTTTCTCCGTAATACATTGAACAGGATATTTTTTTCGCAAAAAATATTTTTTAGGTCCTGTTAATAATAATTCTTATTGCAAAAGTTGCAATAAAACGTGTTTATATTTTGCTTAGTCTATTCATTGTTTTGCGACTTGAAGCATGTATTTAAGATACTCTTAACCGATGAAATTATTTGATATTTGTTTATTTTTATTGCAAATAATTACTATAAAGAATAGCGAAAATCTTTAAAAATCGGAATGTCAATGAGAGAAATAAATATATAATTGTATTAATTTCTTAATAATCTTTTTTAAACATTTATTTATGTAACAATCGTTGCATTTTACGTTTCAAAATGATTATTAATCAAAGAATTTATTTTTAGTTCTGTTATAAAATTTACCCATTTTTAGTCTTGAATTAAGTTTGTAGAAAAATATAAACTAAGCCAAAACCGTTAGAAGATCTGCTTGTTTCTACACATCTTATGCTAGTACTCGATTCTGCGCTATTCGCGATTCGTTTATAATTCATAAATAGTATGGATGGATGATCCGTCAATTTCAACCAATCAGTTTTCTTTATATTATTTAAGAATCGCGAATCACGCATCATGAATACGTGCAGAATTTGATGTTACACTTTATCGTTTCTTCCTTCTCTATTACAAAGAAACATAAATGTATTTTTTTGTCTCACTTTGAACGCTAATATGTGCAACCACGTGCATCTAAATCGTAATTTGGTTTTATGAATGGCACGAATTTGAAATCTTACTAGCACAAAATGCAATTAAATTATGACTCATGAGATCATGTTAAAAGGAAAAATATGTCAAACGTATCGTTGACGAAAAAGCGTTAAAAATGATGAAACAAGATCATTGAGACTCACCGCAATGTTTGCTGTTTTTTTAGCCTGATGTTACTATACGCATGCTCATAATCCAATTTACCAACAATCCGAATTCACTTGTTTCTTTTCGCAGCACTATTAAGACTATATTTTATGTGACGATATCAACGCTCGTAAAATGATTTTGATCCTGGTTTATTGAATACTAGAAAGACGAATATCGTTCGAGAGCGTTGTGATTGCCAAATAAAACGTAGCCTAACTGAGTCTGGTTCGATTTCGATGATTCCAGCTTCTTGGGATGGGTTTTATCCTTCGGGTACCGGCGAGTGAAAGCGAAGCTTTTTTTTCGACGCAGTGTGCGTCGATCCTTTGTAATGTGACATGAATGGAAATAAAATGGAAGATGACCAGTCGGAAATTCCAAAAGCAGAACAGAAGCTGTCAATCTCTGTGTAGTGGTGTATATTTATGTGCTGCTTTTGCCAATAGTGACCATAGCGAACGTAAGAATTCGCAAGTTGGATATGGATTGGTTGCACTAAAAATGCAATTTTTCAGATGACAATTTTATTATTATTAATATTATTATCACACGTTCATTAGGAATTTGAGGAAAGTTAAGTCCTTGAAGTGTCTGCGTTTGTTAAATTGTCTCAACAAATTGACAATTATGTTATGTATTGTAATAATCAGGAAACATGACTGTCCGGTCTTATTGAACCATTTTATTGGTTGAAATTAGTATAATTATTTTTTTAAATATGTATCTTATCGCCTCTTTAACTGCGTTGGAGGAAAATTGCTGAAATGTAGGTTACCTTGTGGAATTATTTACCAGAAAAAAATCCTTAAAAATAATCTTTTCTTTAGCCGTTACACTGGTTTCCCCCTTTAATTGTCTTAATCGTTCGCTTAGATCGTCTTGTCCTCACTTTCTCACGTCGTAACTCGTCTTTTAATAATCACAACTGATATTCGCACAACTGATCTGATCTACATTCGAGACTCGATTCGACGTAGATCGCGCACAGGAATTTTGGCTGCAGGGCTGTTGACAACGCTCGAAGATCGCGTCGAGGACTCAACAATATATATTCTTTTGATGGAACACACAAGGAAATGGAATTACTGGATTAATAAAAAGCGTGTTACATGTAACATAGTTTTGCGGCTGTAGTTATACCGAACAAACGTAACTAATACTGATCACTTGCATAATTATCGACATATATGTAAAAAATAAATGACAGATACTTTCTATCATAAAAAAACACAAAGCTATGTGCACGAACGATGTGAAAATATTGACATTAATTGATCTATTACTAAATCGTGTGAGAAGATCATATGAAAAGGTATAAATAAAGGAAAAATAAGGATACCATAAAAATTAAGTATTTATGCAAAGAATCAAAAAATCATATTTAATAAAACATATATATAAATGCTAATACAGATGAATTATAATTAATATTTAAATAAAATCCTCGTTTAACATTCACAATATATGTATAATATTTAATCGATTATCACTAATAAGAAATTAACATTTACAGTTTTGTAATTCTATGTAATTTTAACACTAAATTATTTATTTCTATATTATTTGAATTTTTTTATTAAAGAAATAGCAATTTTTAAGATGTATAAGAACGATCGGTGGTATCAACGTAGCGTAATGTCTAATGATTGAGCACATTACGTGTTATTACAAAGATTTATACATATGCAATAATCGCGGTCATTCGCCTAAAAATACAAATGTGTTTACTAAATAAAATTTAATAACAATCCGAGATATTACCTATGTTGGGAGTCTTAATCAATGTGAATTTGTTTAACCATTCGTAACAGCACGCTGATTCAGCGCTCCCTTGTCATACGCTAAACAACAAATTATAAATAATTCTATACAAAAATCACCGTTCGTTTTTAGTACATTGCAAGTCATGCATAAAAAAATTTCATCACGTATTTATATCATAACTGTAAATTATTTGCAAATTGGCTTTCAAGTGCAAAATTAAACAAAATTATTTTTTGGATCGAAGTCAAAAGAGAATAATGAACTGACAATATAATTTAGCAACGTAAAAACGCAATTCGACATTATTTATAAAAAATTGTTTAATTGAATATTGTTATGTTATACGCAATACAATAATTTGAACAGTCTTGTCTCCTCGGAAGCAGTTATGATTTTTATTGTCTACAACTATATTTTCTTTGACAAGTGCTATCATCTTCTATCAAACGTCGTTTATGATAATCGATTTGATCTTGGGAGAACGTTTCTCCGATATTTTTCGCAGTATTTCTAATGTATTTTTCTAATGTGTCTTCGCTCAAAGGTTTGAAGGGAATAATTTTCATAATAATATTTGCTTCGATAAAAATATCTTTTACTGTATTTATAACATGGTTTATATCTGCACGCGTCAAAACGTCATCAATCTGCTCAACTTTATAAACGGCCAATATGGTAAACTCCCGATCGCCATATGCTTCTTGATACTTGTTAACATAGTTTATAACGACTTTAGAATGCTCTGCTCTCAAATTTTCTAAGACAATAAAAGTCGGAAGCGAAGGTGAAGAACCGTTTTTCCTCCTTTCGCGTAATTCTTTTTTTATAATGTCCACCGTGTATGGTTTGTCGACGCTTGTATCACCGATGAGAGCTATTACTTTTAAAAGAGGTGTATCTCGCTCAATATATTTGATCACGGCTCGTACGGTTGCATCGTGATCGAGTATCCCTTCCTCCAATTCGACAATAGCAGTCGCAAAAAGACGATTTCATAGAATACGATCATAGTTTTTCAATTTATTATCATTTTCAATCTTCTAAAAACATTCTTGTGAAGATTGAGATTTTAGCTCGATTGCGGATTTTGATGTACTCGGTCGCACGACTTCAGTAGCGTTCGATTCCGTACCAAACGATTCCGTAGGAAACAGTTTCGGTGACGATCCCGGTAAGTTCATTATTTCGGTTTTAAGTAGATAGTTACATTCCTTAACTTTTGTGCATGCATCGTCATCTGCTAATACCTAGTCTCTACAATATTTTAAAATAAGAAGACGCTTGATTAACTACATGCGATTCTCCTTCTAATGCTTCTAATTATATCTTCATTAATTTAATTACTCAGATCATAAATCCATCTATTTTTTTTTTTTGTTACTTTTTTTTCTTTTGATAAAAACAATGGAATCCAGTGATCGAATATTTTTTCCTTCAATTCAAATTTGCAAATAGCAGTCGCAAAAGTGATAGCGTGCTCACCCTCACCATTCTTAACCACACGCATATGCCCAAAACGGAAATAAAATTGAAATAAAAATAGAGATAGAATTAATATGAACAGAATTATGAAACATTTCAAACATGTGAAACATTTTTTTTGACGAATTTTTACTTCCGTATCTTGAATATCTTTTGGTTTTTTGTTTTCTTGAGCTTTAGCATAAGTTCTCATATATTTCGAAGAAAATTGATTAATAATTTTGTTCATTACTAACTGTGGTAATATTGAAAAATGAAACATCATAATTTTGAAATTAAATTTGAATACCGCATTTATAAATCTCCACTGTAATGATTTATCCTTAGACATTGATGTTGATTCTTCAAGATTCACGAATTTCTTATCGTTCATAGCTTCCGCTTGATCGTCTACTGGCTCAGATGCAGATGTATTATCGTGAATATTTGCCGTTAAATCCATAGATTCCTTTGCTCTCATATTTATCACTTGACATTTATCCTGATTTTCTTTTGATTTATGGTCATTGTCTTTCTTCTGAGTGCATTCTTGCGATGATTGAGATTTTAGCTCGAGTGCGGATTTTGATGTACTCGGTCGTGCGATTTCAGTAGCGCTCGATTCCGTACCGGACGATTCCATAGGAGACGATTCTGTAGTAGACGATTCCGTAGTAGACAATCTCGGTAAGTTCATTGTTTTGGTTTTAGATGAATAGCAACATTCATCCCTGCATCATTGTCTACTAATACCTGGCCTCTATTGATTTTTAAAATGAAAAAACGCTTGATTAATGACATGCGATATCTTATCTTTCTTAGTTAATCGCATATGTTAGATTTCGAATTGTCACGTTACATTAAATAAAGACAGATCAAACTTTTAATTATGTATTAAAAATATTTCTAAATTTTATTTTCGATATTTACAATCAAATTTTTTTATTCTTCAGAAATCGCAAATCACGCATCATGAATACGTGCATAGTTCAACGTTAGCGTTACTCTTTATTATCTCTTCCTTCTCTACTTGAGACATTAATAAATTCTTTTGTCTCACTCCGAACGCAAACATGTAACCACGGGCATCTAAATCGTAATTTTGTTTGTGAATGGTATAAATTTAAGATTTTACTAGTACAAAATGCAACTACATTATGATTATCAAACATAATGTTAAAAAGAAAAATATGTCAAACGTATTTTTGATAATGAAACAAGATAATTAAAACTCACCGATCAATATTTGCAGTTTTTTTAGTTTGATGTTCCAATATACCAATCGTTCTTTTTCGCAGCTCTCTTAAGACTAGTCTAACTGAGTCCGGTACATATGGTTCCATCTTTTAGGGATGATCCTTTTTCTTTCAGGTACCTGTGAGTGGAAGCGAAGGGATTTTTTCGACACAGTATGCGTAGATCCTTTGTGACGTGAAATAAATAGAAATAGAGTGGGAGATGACCAGCTGAAATGCCAAAAGCAGAACAGATGCAGCCAATCGCTGCATAGGGGTGCGTATTTTGTCAATAGTGACTATAGCAAACGTAAGAATTCGTAAGGTTAGGTTAGGTTGGTTGCACTAAAAATGCAATTTTTCAGATAACAAATTTATTATTATTAATATTATTATCGCACGTTCAATGACGATTTGGGGAAAATTTGGCACTTCTCAAAGTGTCTGTGTTTGTCAAATTGTCTTAATAAATCATTATGTATATCACAATAATCCTGTAAGGAACATTATGGTGTGTCGCAATAATCCTGTGAGGTATGTAAGGCGAAAAATGCTTGCAATATATATCAAATATAAAATCATGGGATGTGGTATCGCATGAAATTGTTCATCATCGTGTGTCATGCATGATAATTTTGAAACATATTACATGTAATATGTAATACTATTTTACGCTTACGTTATTCCAAAAGAAAAAAAATTCCGAATTTTATTGACACAATAAATTTACAATTAGTAGCGGTTCATAGATGTATCTGAGTAATTGCACAAGATAATTTCTAGGATAAAGATCGTAGAGAAGCAACGGTACTTTAAGCCCTGCCGTGCTTTGTTTCCTTTCCAACTCTTTACCCTATACATTCCATTTAAAATATAAAATATCGTTTTTATCGTTTTTAACTAAAATTTATCATTGCGCAGTTATTTTCCGATACGTTTTAGCTGTGCAATGACAAATATCGTATGCGATATTTTTTAAGAATATGGTCTCTGGTCGCAATTAAAAGTGTATCCATATTACGTAAGAAATATTTAAATTTTTGATTACGGTTTTAGTTCTTGAAATATCTTATTCGAAACTTTATTAACTTAAAATTTCAGATAAGCTACTTGGTAACACTGCGGCCCTTGTACACAAGTAAGGTCGCGATGCTAACGCGTCGTTGTTTGAGAATTTTTAAACAACTATAAATAAAATAGATTTTGCTTTTCACAATAGCATGTATTTTTTAAAAATATCGATAATAATAAGATTTAAATTAGCAAAAAAAAAGAAATAGTGGCAACGGTACATGGTGTTCCCAAGCGGTCACCCATCTAAGTACTGACCATGCCCAACGTTGCTTAACTTCAGTGATCGGACGAGAACTGGTGCTTTACAACGTGGTATGACTGTTGCCGAAAGTAAGGGGTCCAATTGATGTAGATATATTTAATTTGAAAATTTCGAGACTATATAAATATAGATATAGTAGATTATATCATCACAATAATTTTGGCATGTATTTGGAAAAAAATATTGATATTAATAAGATTTAAACTAGAAGAAAAAAGAAATAGGTTTTAGTTTATGTATCGTAATATGTATTCTAAAACTGGAATAATTTCATGTATTTCGAATATAAAAAAAAGAGAAAAAAAACATACTGTGGTATAAAACTCTTCCTAATCTACAATTAAAATTTTTTTTTAAAGTTTTATTGTTATACAGTTGATATTTAGTTTCGAGATATGATATCATTAATAATTGATGCAATTTATGGATATCTAACTCGGAAAATATATATTCTTCGAGAATACGCATAATTTGCTTTGATTCTGTTCCATTCCAGAAATTATCATCAATATTGTTATCTCTTCAAAAAGAAAATTGCTCTAAAGTCGCAGAGCAAATTGAATGAGCTGGATATTTATCTTTCAAACGAGATTGTACTGTCTGCGCTATTTCATCTAACCACGATTTTACAGCCGAATAAGATACATGTGGTTGAAAATATTTTATATCGTAAAGAGACGTAACGTTACACTAAATGAAAATATAATGACATAAATTAATTTATTACTAACAAGCCACCTGAAGAGATCATGTGAAAAGACATAAATAAAGGAAAAATAAGCATACCGTAAAAATTAGGTATTTATGCAAAAAATTATTTTTAATAAAACATATATATAAGTGCTAATACAGATAAATTATAATTAAAATTTAAATAAAATTTTCATTCATCATTCACACCATATATTTAACATTTAAGCAATTATCACTAAGCAATAATAAATTAACATTTACAATTTTGTCATTTTGCGTAATTTTTAATGGCAAGTTATTTATTATTATGTTATTTGTAAGGTTTTAATTAAAGTAATAGCATTTTTTCAGTTGTATAAGAACGATCGATGATATCAACGTAATGTAGCGCAATGTCTAACGATTGAGCATTATGTATCATTACCAAAATTTATACATATGCAATAATCGCGATTATTTGCCTAAAAATACAGATGTAATTACAAAATAAAATTTAGCAACAATACGAGATATTACCTATGTCAGGAGTCGAAACCAATGTGAATTTGTTTAATCATTCGTAACAGCACGCTGATTCAGCTCTTTTGACGTATGCTAAACAACACATTACATATTATATCCTGCAAAATTCACCGTTCGTTTTTAGTACATTGGAAATAATGCGTATAAAAATTTTATCACGTATTTATGTCATAACTGTAAATTATCTGCAAATTGGCTTTCAGTATAAAATTAAACAAAATTATTTTTTGAATCAAAGTCAAAAGAGAATAATGAACTGACAATATAATTTAGCATCGTGAAAACGCAAGTCGACGAATTTAGCCCGGAAAATATCAATTATTTGTACTCATAAATTTCTGCTATATATTACAATCCGGTATGTACACGAAAAATATACATTGTTTAATCAAATATTGTTACGCCATACGCAATACAATAATTTGAAGTCTTGTCTACTCGGAAGTTGTTATGTATAATCTTTATTGTCTAAAAACCATATTTTCTTTGGCAATCGGTATCATCTTCTATCAAACGTCGTTTATGATAATCGATTTGATCTTGGGAGAACGTTTGTCCGATATTTTTCGCAGTGTTTTTAATGTGTTTTTCTAATGTTTCTTCGCTCAAAGGTTTGAAGGGAATAATTTTCATAATAATATTTGCCTCGATAAAAATATCTTTTACTGTATCTATAACATGGTTTATATCTGCATGAGTCAAATCGTCATCAATCTGCTCAACTTTAAAAACGGCC